TCGATTTCCGCTATGGATATGCCTTCAGTAACCCTTTAAACCCCCTACTTCAGCCAGTCATTGTTCCGGACCCAGGTGATCCATCCCGATGTTACCTAATATCGCCTGGGGGCACATCCCTCAATCTTTATGGACATCTCCCACCAACCCCCTGCCCACAATCCTCCAATCATTCCGGGACACTCCTCTCCACAGGCCCAGGTTCGGAAGGAGGACGGCCCGGCGGGAGTAATTGTGCAATTTAGAGGTAACCGGTTGTGATTGGTGGCCACGATTGAGAGGTCATCGGAAGGTCATCTGATAGCATCACCTCGGAGCTACGGGGTGACAGTGTCTTCTGAAGAGAGAGAAATAGTGAGAGAGCAAGAGAGAGAGAGAGAAAGCGAGAGAGACTGTCGAAAAGGCCAATTGGTTCTCCCTCACCTACCCCGCGGCGGGTGAAACACCATTTTCGGGCGTGCTTGCTCATTGTGCAGGGACGGGATTGTTGGGTTACGGTAGTCGAACAGACTTTTGGTATTGATTTTCAATCGAATTTTTCTTCGATATAACTTCTTCACTTCAATTCATTTGCTTTGTCATGCTTTTATCCGAATATAACAATTCAACGAATTTTAGGAAGTCAAGAAAGAGGGAGAGAGAGAGAGAGAGAGAGAGAGAGAGAGAGAGATCGAGAGCGAACAAGTGCGAGAGACGTTTCAGGTTTTTCTACACCTGCGTCCGCTTTAAGCTCAGCAGTGCTACTAAGCATTGATTTTCCTTCGGAAGGGGCTAACTAGCAGAGACTTGTACGGAAAGCAAGCACTCTATTTGAAGTACTTAATTATTTTTTATACTTATTACTTTTTTAGTTCTAAAAAGATGTTTTCTGCTTGGCTTGGAAACGCCCCGTAGGAAATCCGCGTATTTTTCCCCTTTTTCCTCAGCATACCTCCTACCCAACCATCCTTCTGATCAAATCACCAGTTGGCTGGCCATATCTCGGTTGGTGGCGCCCTTTGATGAGGGTTCGCTTGATTGGTTGCGGTCAAGGGAGGCCATCTTCCCCCTTTCCGTTTACTCCTCTAGACGGTCTACCATAGGGCCATAATCCCAGGCGGGGGGCGGAGGGGTGGTCTAGCAGATACCATCAACACCGCCACCACCTCTACTCAACCATCATCTTCATCAAAGAATAGGCTGTCATTTTTGGCGGTGAAGGTATTGTCAAGACTAGCGTTCTGTACTCTTCCTCTTAGACGCAGTGTTTCTATTTTCTCTAAATCCGACGATTTCAGGTACTTCAAGGTACCTTACATGCTCCGTTTTAGGATCTCACTCTCGGCCTTACGGTCAATTTTCTTAAATTCAATTGGCAAAAATTTTTCCTGTTCAGAGTTTTTGATTTTCGTGTTTTTTTCTATGCCTTTAGCGGGGGAACATCGGCTTTTGGAATCTGGCTTCAACTTCCTTTTCATGCTTGAATTTCTTGGCTTTCGTTCGGTCTGAAATTTATTCCTGACCGTTACGAGCCCGCCCCACCTGGCACGAACTGTCCCTCGTGGCCGTCTGAATATTCAGCGTGAAGCGAAACCCGGCATCGCGCCCACCCGGGTCAATTTCGATGCGAAATTTGATTTTGCGGGATTCTAGAATCTTCTAACCGTTTCTTGAGGTGTATTTGGGAAAATTTTTCGTTCGTTTCTTAATTTAGTTGGTAACAAGCACTGATAATCGGTACCCTCTTTTATTCCGATTTTTCAAAGATCGTCTACAAACCTGCTAATAGTCCAGACCTTACAACTCCATAGCTCCCTTAAATTTTTCTAAGAAATTGATTTGGTCAGGTAATATACACATTTATTAGTTTTGCTCGATTTTTTGCAGGTGTTTCGGCGCTGACTTTTCCCTTACACCAGAAAACATGCTAAAAGCTCCTCGTTTTGACACCTTAAGAAACGTTACGATCCAAATTTCAATTTTGTATCTGTACTTTTGGTTACGACAAACCACCATATTAGTGTAAGTTTCTTAGAGTCCATCCCCTGACCAATACGTCCCCGCCAGCCGGCTCGCTTCTCTTTACTATTCCGTGCCTCCATCTTCCCCCATCCAACTCCCTGTCTATCCATGCGCAAATTCCAGTCTTTTTTATTATCTCTTCATGCCCGGGGGCATCATCTTCCCCTTCCCCCTTGCCTACCTCTGCCATCCAACAGTAACAGTTATGCGATGCGAAGAAAAATTGCGCGAGGCGCACGGCGCGCCTAGAGATAGCCCCTCAGCTCCGAAAAAACGTAGGCGCATCAACCGGTTGGCCCCGGGGCTGGGCATTGCCACCCAGGCAGCCACGGACAATTTATTCCCCCTCCAGGCTTCCCCCTCTTGATCATGGGCTCATATAGCTAACCGAGGGGGGAGTTTGAGCTCTTTCTCAACTGCCATACTTGGCAATTATATACCCTGGGGGAGACTATGAAGTTATGGTATGGTGGGGGAACGGTGACCAGTTTTTCGCCCGCCCACCAATTTGGACCCATCGCCCAACCCCCGGGTTCGGACCAGCCGTTTACCTAGCTAGGCGCCTGGGGTGGCAGCCCGTCTGAAGTCGATGGCAAATCTGGATTCAAGCAGCTTTTTACTTTTTATTCCTTGACTCGCTATCGTACTCCTTATACGCTACCGTCCATTGTACTGTAGCGTACTAGCTACGGTAGCTATAGATTTTCTATGGCCTTGAAAGCGAGCATAGTACTCTATGGGCAGTCTTCGCTATAAATTTGAGAAATTAGTAATTAGGGAATTTCGCATGTTCTGCATTTTTTTAATTTTTGAGATCCTATTTACCACTTACCACTTAACTGATAATAAACGACTTAAATTTTCTGTCTCCTCCCCTTACCCATATTTTCCTTTTCACAAAATTTATGGTCTTCAAATCACAGGCCTGCTTTATGCATTTTTGTTTATGAATTTGCTTTTCCGAATTGTTAGGTTATTCTAGTAGGCTTTAATGGATTCAGGTACCTGCTAACGATTGTGCTCTTTCCTCGAATTTGAATTTGCTTTTTTGAGACTAAAAGCATTGAAACTTCGACAAAATGAGATTTTGACAAAGTAACTTTTCGGCAAAATTGAATATCGACAAAATGATTTTTCTCTAAATGAAAAAACTTACTAGCTGTGCCTGAATGGCATATATCTTCGGATCCCCTAGCTATCCGGATTCATCTTTTTTTCAACTTTCGGTATCTACACGGTTGCGGTCATTATCAACGTATTTTAGAAACTCCTTAAACCCCCTTCCTCACGTTCCATCTCCCCCAAAAGCGGCCTCCACCTTTGCTGCCGCGCAATATTTGCCGATATTGCCTCACCGGCTCGCCTCGGGGCACAGTCTTATAGGGCCGGGAGGGGAAGTGGTGTTGGCGTAACCGGCGCGTTATCGCCTTGTTGCCAGCTTTGACCAACGATAGACAGAGGGAGACAGAGAGAGAAGCGCATACCTAGAGATAAGCCCAAGCGAGAGGTACCTCAGAAATAGGCGCTGGTCAGACCCACGCAGAAACTGATGGCCCGAAATTCAGGTCGTAAGGACAGGGAAAGAAGAGGGGAAATTTGGCCCCGAGCGCTCATCGAAAATAAAAGATAAAGATGCCCCCCGGGGGGTTCTGCCCATTTTTATCGGCTTTCAAGGAGTGACCAGCTGTCACACGTCCCCCTCTTCTCCTTCCCAACCGAAATCGGGAACACCTGAAAAGGTGGGGTTGTTTGATTGGTTATTAGTTGGTTGGGGCGGGGGGAACGGTTAGGGGTTTGGACTTTGGGGTCTGAGAAAGGTTAGGGCAGCCGGAACTGGGACTGGATCTTAAAGGGAGGAACATTAAGAAATTGGAGGATTTAGATAGTAACCGCTTTCAAATTCTCAAGCTCAAAACCCGGTTTCTTTGAAGCACCGTAACGTGTTGGATCCCTTTAAAAAGTCGTGACTGAATTTTTTTTCAAGTGTGCGGCACGTAAGATATTTTCTAATTGTATGCTGATCATTTTTACAACCACTCCATTTCTTCATTTACCTCGTTTTGAAAACACCTACAGTAATCCTTACTAATTTCAACTTTTAAAAAAACCTTCTCCTTGTCTTATTTTCTGGTTTAATCCATTTTCCATGGCAGTTCCATTGCTATTCAGTCCCTATTTTTAGGGATTATTGGTGGCCCTGTCCCTTTAAATTACTGACAACAAAATTCGATACTTTACGTACGCGTTGCTTAATTTTCATATTTCCTTTTTCGTTTCTCTTTCAAACCGCATCCACGAGGTTTTTTTCTGCTGTCTCCCGCCACTGGAAAATGCGCTTTTTTTCTTGTCTGCGCTTTCGGTATTTTGTGCATATGATTATGGGTTGTTTCCATCCCCTGTTATTTCCAAATCTTTCAAAAACCATCCCAAAGTCTCAATCTCCGGCGCTTTCCGGCAAAAAAACCGCTCTGAAACGCATTGTTATCGGTGTTGACCTGCAAGCGAATGAGGTGTCCAAAAAAAGGATGCTGCTGACCGTTCGAAAAAATAAAATCGCCTGCAGGGGGCTTGGTGTGCTTATCGGGTTGACCTGAAACTCTTTTTTTGTGTTAGGAGAGCGAAATTCCGACATCAGCCAAGCTTTTTAGGCCTTGCAAAAAGTGTGGCGAGTTTTGGGCCAAATCTTGGAACAATTATTGATACTTTACTAAATACCTTTTCGATGCTATCTTAATTGAATTTGGTTTAAATTTTGATTTTAAACAAAAAATGTCTAAAGAATCAAAAAAGATTACAACGGGGATTTCTTGCTGTTATTTATTTATTTTTGAGGCTTTTAAGGTGGAATTTTACATGATTTTTCCGCTACTATATTTTATGACGTTTGCTGCTCTCTATAAAATGTTCTCTCTTTCTTCAAAGCATTTTTAATTTGCATTTTTGCAGTCTTTCACCCAACAGCCGATCTCACCCCCGGCCCACCCCCTCCATGCCTGAACATGGACGACTTTCTTCAGCCACCTCCGAATAGCGACATCCAGAATCCGGTAATGAAGCGAATTCATCAATTTTCTTTTCTTTATGCCATCAAAATTTTGCACATAAGCGTTAAAGCCTGAAAAACAATATTTTGCATTAGTGAAAAATTCTTAAAAATTGTTCTTTACCTCGTAAAAATGGATGGGATGAAAAACCCTTTTGCGTAAAAATGCCCGCCCTTTCAGATGAATTTCCCGGGCGGCATCTACCCGGGCTATCCCTCGGAGTTTGGCTTCAACCCGATGTCAGATGACAAGTCTGGAAACAACAATCAGGCCGTGAAAATGGTGAGTTTTGTCGAGCCGGTATGCGAGGTAAATTTTTAGCGTTCAAGTTCAAGATGTAAGCTCCTGTGAAGTGGCTCTGACACCTTCAAAATTCAGCTTTTTGTATATTCGATAGATTTCAAGGTTTAGCTAAAATAATCTTTTTTTTTAGCTGGAAGTCGCGCCACCCCCGCCAGTCGTCATTTGCCCCACTGAGGTTGACCACATCAACATCACGCTCGAGAAGAACCAGCAGTGCGCGTGTAAGGACTGCGGGAAGCTGTTCAACTCCGTTTGGTACGTTAAGCGATACCTTTTATACTTTGTGTGCTAAAGGTAATCACCTAACACAACTGACAATTTTATTGGCATCGTTGAAATTTAAAGCAAGAGAAATTTCAAAAAATCGAATTTTATAATTTCCTCATTTCATAGCCTAAATTTTCCGATGATGAACTTCTCGAAGACTTCCCCCCATGAAATCCCAGTATTTTCCAAATAATAAGCTTTCGACATTATGGAATTTCGAGATTATGCTATTTTGAGAATGAGCATCTTGATAATATGAACTTCAAATTATGAATTTTGAAGGGTTAAAAATCACCGCTTTTAAAGCGGCAGTGCCACGAGGATCCATCTCCTTCCAGGTACCTCAAGCAGCACGCCGTCAAGCACTCCAACGACCGCCCGTTCAAGTGCAAATTCTGCTTCAAGACGTACAAGTTCCGGTCCAATCTCTACCAGCACAAATGTCCGGACAGGCAGAAGAGCGGCCAGACTGGGTAGGTATCAAAAAATTTACATATTTTTATCAAATTTTGTTATATTCACATCGTTTTTTTGTAGTTCCAATAATTTAAGTAATTTCAGTCGTCGGATGATCCGCGGAAACGGGCTTCTATCCCCAAATACCAAACGTCAGGAGACGAATCAGTTGATCAAGTCGAGAATCGAGGCCAATATCGCTGGAGATGAGCCGACAATGCCGTGAGTTTTGTAATTTTAAAGGGACTAGAAAGTTGCAAAACCGACCCTTTGCTCGGGCTGGACAGATATGAAATGCTCCAAATTACGCTCACTGACATTTGAAAATTTTGGTTATGCGTTCATCTCTGCGAGCAGAAAAAGCCGCCGAAAAGACTGTGTTTTGAAGCGATACGTATCTGTCGAGACCTAGTCAATATCACAGGTCGATCTGGCATTTACTGAATCTTTTAATGAGCCATTGAAGGCAAACAATTAACTTTATAACTTCCAGACAACCCGGAATCTCTGCCCCCATCCCCGAGCAGCCAGAGCAGCCGAACAACACCGAAAATGAGAACTACCCGATTGGGCTGAATATCAGAATTGAAGCAGCAGACATGTGGCAGGTATGAAGTTTTTCGGTTACTTGACCGGATTCCGTACCTATTAACGAGACTTTGACGATTAAAATATTGTCTTTTAGCCTCCCACCGCCCCACAGATCCAGATCGAAATGCCGCCAGAGCCACCCCGTGATTGTATCCGCGAGCAGCAACTACCCCAGGACGAGATCGAGCAGTACATCGCGAATAATAAGGTATCACCGGGGCTTCGATTAAACTTATTTGGTTACTTAGTAGCTTGCTGAAATTCTCGCTACCAAAATTATGATTTTTTAAAAAGCCGTAAAGAAAAGCGATCAACAAAGGCTAGTTTAATTTTAAGATATAAATCAGGCAGACTAGCGGTGATCCTTTAGGATCAAAGATTGCTAAAAACTCAAAGACTGGGCAATTTAGCAGAGAGTTTTGTGGAAATGAGCAAAAAATAGGCTCCCGAGCTGCTCATAGCGAAGAGCGGAAAAGGCAAGCTAGCAGAGAATATTTGGGAAGTATCACGAATAGTAACGCTGCAGGGCAGGCTAGCAGAGATTCTTTATGGAAAAAAGAGCTTAGGAGAAGCTCTGGATCCGGCATTCCCAAACATGTTTTTGTTTTGGGTAAGCCAGCAGAGATTCGTTGGGAAAATTAAAACAAACTGGAGTAAAATCCTGATAACAGGCGAGCTAGCAAAAAGACTGTGGGAAATTCCCTATACCGTACTCCTTCCATGTAATCCTTCCGCTTATAGTAGCCCACCCATTTCCTCCTGTTTCAGCACAAACTCTTCTCCTGTCGCAAGTGCAAATTGCTCTTTCCATCGGAGCAGACGCTCCAGCGGCACAACACGGTGCACGTCTTTGAGGAGGTAGATAGTGGATGTTGTACGTAGATGGGGTATTTTTTAGACTTACTGCTACGCCTGTCCGTTCTGCCGGGAGGCTTTCACGAACGAGAAGGACCTACGTGTACATTCGCAGCATCACGCGTCGAATAGTCCGTGGAAGTGCGACTCGTGCAGCGGATCATTTAGGTGAGAGAGAGACGGAGGTGGTGAGAAAGAGAAAACGAGCCAGTCAGCGAGAGAGAGAGAGAAAGACAGACAGACAGACAGCGAGAGAGAGAGAGCGAGAGAGAGAGAGAGAGGGAGAGAAGGCGAAAAAGAGAGAGGGAGATCGAGTGAGTGAGCGAGAGAGCGAGAGAAAGAAATCTTAAGGACGGGAGTGACCACAAGCAAGCGAGAGAACAAGAGAGCCACAAAAAGTGCGAGAGCTAGAGAAAGCGTCCGCGCGTGCTCGAAGGTAGCAAAACAGTCTAGAAAGCGAGAGTGTCCCAGGAAGCCAGAGAGTAACAGCCGGCGAGAGATCTAGAGCAAGCGAGAAAAAGAGATAAAAAAGCGAACGAGTACGAGAGGCAGAGGCCGAGAGAGAGGCTCCAAATAGAGAGATCACAGTGAGCGCGAGATAGAGAGCAACCAGAGAGAGAATCAAGGAAAAAGGCGAAAATCCGAATTTCCCAAACTTTGTTTGACTTCCAGATCCAACGTCTCCCTCCGTCGCCATCAAGACGCCAGCCTCGAATGCACGTTCTACCCATTCGGTGTCGAGCCGGAATTGGTGGGATTTTTAAAGGTAGTGGCGTTTCTAGCTCCAATTAACGACCACCCTGAGCTCTACAAACTTGCTTTTTCCAGCTCCCCTCCCCTCCGTTCCCGATGGACCCGTTCGGCTTCATCACCTCCCCCTCGGACCTCATCGTGCGGCCATCATGCGAGGAGCTCGGGAGAGGACCAGATTCCGGACTCGGATCCGAAGCCTCACCCCGATCACACGCCAGCCCAGAACTACCTCTGCTGCCTGGGGATGATGATCTGGATGAGATGCTGTATGGGAGGAAGCGGACAAAGAAGGAGAGAGATGATGATGAGGACTCTGGATTCCGCTCTCGGCTCAACTCCATGGCCACCGCGCAGTCGTCATGCTCCCCGAGGAGTTCACATGCTTCTTCGGAAGGGTCTGGCTCTCCGCAACGGAAAATGTCAAATGGTGGAACTGGGGAGAATCTGAATGATCTGAACTTTGGAGGTGAGTATTTGGCCTACGGATTTTTTTAAAGGGACCGGGAAGCGTAAAAATCGTCGCTTGGGGATACTAGGTCTCGACAATGCACGAATCACCGGGATATAGGCGTTCTCGGATGGCATCTGTAAGTGTCGAGAACTAGCCGACAAAGAGGGTAGCTTCGGAGCCTTGTTCGGCTCCTTTAAGCGGGACTAAAGTTTCTAAATCTCTACGGTAAAATCTAAAAAAAAGCGACTAGGTCTCGACAGACTGCAACTACTCGCAAATGCTGTATCGAGAGGATTCAAAAGAGGTTTTGAAGCGGTTTTTCGCCTAAGACATTCTTGTCGAGACCTAGCAGACGGGAGAAAGACGAGATTTTGGCGCTTCCTCGTCCTGTAAAAACAGAGTTTCAATGTTTAGGATAATATTTTGGCTTCAATGGCACTTTAAATCCCCAAATTTCCAGACCTCGGCACGGGATTCGGCTCCGGCCCTTCCTATGGCACGATGCTGTCCCACCAGTTTCAACAATCGGTGGGCGGAGGACTCAACTACAGCGCCGAAACGGATGCTGAACTAGGGCTCCATGAGGAGTACACGGTGGAATTCACAACCAGTGGTTCCCGCGAGGCACAGTTCATGATCATGCCGAGGACTATTCGGATGCCGGCTGTACATAAAGGTATGCAAATTTGAGTAACCTGGAAAAGCAAGAGAAGGTGGCTTTGTTGGCCTCAAGGTATCGGTAAGACCGTTCCTTGAGGATCTACTTAGATGAATAGAAGCCATGAAAAACCCTACATGTCGAAAAGCCAAAAATTTTATGAAAATTCGGTTTGTTTTGTCCACAGGTTTCTTGCCTTTCACAGATGTTTAGGATAGCAGACCTTCTAGTAGGTAGAAGGCTTCTACCTACACACTTACCTTCTAGCAGATTTTTGGCTTACAACTTTAAAACCTTCAAACCTTTAAAACCTTCAAAACCTTTCACCTGTACCTTTAAAACTTTTAAACGCCAAAACAATCAACAAACGCTCTTTTCCAACAGCTTTTGTCTTCCAGATACCGTTAAAACTACAAATTCCAGCAAGTCTAACAGCACCGCAAACGTTCTCGCTCGCTGATGAATATTCCGCCGCTAAATCGGCTGTGGCAAGCCAAGGAGAAGAGCCAACCGAGTTTGAATGGATAGCCAAGAAGCTGGGGATGGATTTTGAGTGGGTTTTTTGAAAAATAATCATATTCTGATAAGTCTAAACTTTCACGCAGTTTTAAAGGTAAAAATTCGTTAATAATCCGTCTTTTATAGCCTGCTGAAAGCGCTCTACTTCCGCTTCGTGCTCGAGTCTCTATGCGCCGCATACTGTACGTTTTCTGAAATTGCAGAATTGTAGAAATTGATGAAAAACGTGGCCAGAATCACTAGAGATTTCGCGCATTTTAAGCGACAAGGAGGATCAGTCAATTTCTCTAAAAAACCTATCAACCCCTAACTACCGATTTGCCGCAAATTACATCCCGGTTCACCCCGGCAACCCGGTCAGCAGCCAATCAGTCAACTGATCCCCCGGGCTGCGAGCACCAGCTGACAGCACAAAAGCGAAACAAAAACGAATTGCGCTGCCCTCAGCAGGCCGGAGACGACGCGCTTATCAAACGCTACCCGGGGTCCGGGAATACATCATACGATCGAAACGGGAAGCCGGAAGCAACGTTTGGGTGTTTTTCAATTCAGTTAGTTGCGTGGAAGGGCGTAAACCATGTGGAAGGCTTAGTAAAAACCCTGAAAACGCGTAAATTAGCTTAAACGACCTCGAAAGCTGGCTAAATTCACTAAACCTTATCTTTTGGAGCATTAAGCCCTATTCTTAACGCTGCACTTCCCCTTGAAAGAATACTAAATAGCGCTATAAAAGTCATAGCTATTTTTTAAGATTTTTAAATCATCATTTTCCACCATCATTTCCAACGCCCTGTCCACCACTAATTTCTGAGATATAGGAATAGGATAAATGACACCTCTGGATATAGGAATGTTGTGGAAAAACAAGACCACACCCAGCGGAGCCAAGCCGGCCGTTCCACGGCGCTGGAGTAGTTTTCGAGATCCCATCTTTACGGCCATAAACGACGGGGTACTGGCTTGTTTTTCTGGTCTTTTTTGGCTTTGGCACGCACAGTTTGACACCTCCAAAAAAAGCGCTGTTCAGGTATATTCGTAGCTTTCAGGTTTCTACTTTTTTATCAGCTTTGAAAAAGTGCTCTCTATAGCTGCTGTATGCGTACACTTCCTAAAAAGCGCTGTCGGCCACTACTGTAATTTTAATTTAGCAGTTTTTTAAACGGCACTCTCAGTCACTACCGTAATTTCTTGATTTTTTCCAGCCGAGTTTCTAATCGGGAATCCGGATCCTCAGAAAAATTTACCAAATTGGACCTTTCAACGATCCAAGGCGTTTTAAAGCGCACGTTCAGGGAGGGGGCGTGTACTCGTCCAAACGTGTACGTAACGTAACGTGTGCAACGTGTATGGACGTAGGGACCGCGCGATTCATGGAACCTAGTTCACACCCCTAGACCTACCGTAACGTCCCCCCACCCTACCCCGGTTTTCCGATCCGATCTGCCCGGCACCGTGTAAACGCGGGGCACTTTTTTTGAATACAGCACCCGGTGTTGTGTCTCGCCCACAGATTCCGGCACCGATGCGCCCCCGATTTTCGGGCAGACTGGGGCGCATTTCGGTCTTCCAAGCCTTCGAGGATGATTGATGAGCCGGGAGGTTCATCTGATTTAGAGGTTCCCCCTAGCTATACCCGGTTAAAACGCCGACAGAATGCACCGCGTAGATTTGCGGCATTATCGAATTACTGTAAAAACATTATTATACCCACGATTGTGCCATTTCTTACTTGATTCCCCAAAAAAACGCTTCCCGTGATCGTATGTTTGTACTGCGCCCCGGCATTGCCTGTGGAACGAGGAACTGTTTCACCCCTGCCCTGTAGAGAGGCGTAAAGAGGAATCGAGCGGACCACCACGTTTTTCGGCTGGTCTTTGTCGAAGCGGCGGCACACGGGCAATATTTTGCGCCCGGCAGCCCCGTTATTGCGTTGGTGGCTGTCATATTTTCTCTGGGGGTGATTTTATTCTTAGAGTTATAGTTAAGTCGTAATTTAGTGCGCTTAGGAAATTTCCGAAACATTGGCTTATGAATCTAAAATTCTGTGTGTCACTCCCCTTTTAAAACGATTGGCATAAACTGAGACAAGGGTAGAGAAAGAGCTCGAGAAAGTATATGACGACGAGAGATAGAGAGAAAGAGATAAAGACAGAAAGAGGGGAGAGCGACAGAGAGCGAGAGAGAGGAGGGAGAGAGGGTGAGAGAGACGTGGCTAGAGGGAGGCGGAGACAGAAAAAGATACAGGATGAGATGCGGAGTAAGATGGAACGAGGGAGAGAGAGAGAGAGAGAGAGAGAGAGAGAGAGAGAGAGAGAGAGAGATGAGAGCTAGAGCTATAGATAAGAAGAGAGCGAAAGAGCGACAGAGCTACGATAAATGAAAATTGACATTTCCCAAGAACAATAAGGGAAAAAAATACGGCTTAAGGTTGTAACCTTAAGGTATCGAAAAACATAACAGCAATTGTCGAAATTTCGAACAAAAATCAGTTCGTACTTTCACCTTCCCCGCTCTTTTTACAAACTTTCATAGGCGGATTTTCTCGATTAACCCTTTTCATCATCTTCTCATTAGTTCGGTCCGCTTGTACCCGACAATCCCTGTAGTTTTCCGCTGCTTGAGGGGGGAACAAAACGTGGAAGAGGGTAGAAGAGAGGGGAGGGCTGTATGTGGCTGGTGGTTGCTTGAATGTTTGTCCACGACCCCCCCCCCCCCCCCCTCTCTACCACAGCACCCAACCAAAACCACATTTTTATGTCGTAAACGTCACTCTCCACCTCTGTACACTTTCCGCGCATACATAGAGTATTATGAGCCGATTTGGGGTGAGGCAGTGGCGGAGTACGAAAGCGGTTAGAGATCGGGCTCGACTTCGGGGAGTTCAGGGTTCTGAGCCGTTTTTGGAAGTGAATTTACGCCGTTTAAAGAATAGATAAGGAACTAATTTGCATTTTAAAAATACGATAGACGCCTAACCTCGTTCGACTTCCCGGATCACCAAAATTTGGATTATACCTGGCTTCAATTTCGAACAGTTCGAGCTCTTTTTAAGATACAGAGTTACACTCCGTAGTTTCCGATATACACCTACGAACGCTGAATAACTACGACGATTTTGAATTTTCAAAAATGCTGTGCACCCTCTTGACCTCGCTCAACTCGGTGCACCCCGAAATGACGGATTACTGGGTAGGGTCAACCAAAGGGGTACAAAAAGTGTGTCCCGATGCGCACTGTCGATAGTATCGCCGCGTACAAGGCTAAACTCGGCCTTTAAAAAACCCCCGGATGACCCACTCGATCCCTCATCCTGCTGCCCTTGTTCTCGCAAGGACCCCCCGGCTAATCTATCCTTTTTTGGATCGGCTCTCGACCCAAAAGGAATGGGGTCGCAGATTACCATCGGCGACTCGAGTAGCCCAATTTGCTGGTGGGAATGGAGCGCGTCGTCTAGAGAAACAACCTTTTGTATAGAAAATACGAATTTCAAAAATTTATTGCATTATGAAATCCTATTTTCTAATTTTCTTTTACAATTATATAAGGTTTAGATTTCGTTATTTTACACAGATTTTTTAAAATAGAATTTACGTTGTGTATTATATTAGCCTTGGAACTAAAAGCCTGAAATTTTATAGAGAATCAAATCTGCAGAAAATAAAACTTGCTGAAGCGGCGGAGAGTTTACGGTATTGGATAAAAAGCACCTGAAAATACAATTTTTCAATTTTGCCAATTTTATATTTCAGGTTTTTTGAAAAATTTACGAAATACTGTACCTTTTCTGCAATTTCGGATGCTGTAACTTGCGCAAAATTTAGTACTCTCTAACTTGAGCGATTCAAAAAAATACCTTTCGCTTAGAGCTCGAAAAATCAAACCTGTTTTTAGCGCATTTCCGGGTCCCACGACCTACAGCTGCCCTGTGCACCCCTTAAACGGCGTTCCTTTAAAGTACACCCCATACAGTTCGCCCAACCTCCCATACTTCCCTACCGAATCCCACCCCGGCTTGGTCAAGGAGTGTTTGTGTTGTGCGAAGGGGTCCGGGGCCCTTTTTCAGCGATTTTCGCCCCGCGGGGCGCGCTCAGGACAAATCGGTTCTCCGCCCCGGGCTCCACCCTCTGTTTTTTCGGTGTCTCTAATTCCCTCGGTCTCCATTTCTGCCCCAATCTCTAGCACGAGCAGCGGAGACCGCCCGGAGTTGAGCCGATCACCTTTGTCGCTCCCGGGGTTGGGCGAGGTGAGGCGAGGCGGCCCCGTTTACCCACAACACCACACAACTGCATACCTTTCTCTCTGGCGATGTCTCTATATACACTCAAAGACAGACAGAAGCACAGACAGACAGACAAACAGACTAAAAACATCCGCAAGGAGAAGGGGTTTCTTGGGTGTCTTTTGATGACTCATTTGCCTTATTTCCTGATTTTCGATCACTCCTAATAATTGTCAGCGTTTTCCGAATATCAGCTAGACCTACAGACAAGGAGACAGACTTGGACACTTTCTACTTTACGAAGATTACCGTATTGTCGTCAGAACACCTCGTTTTTAGGCGGTTTTGCCCGGTTTCCATAGCACATTTTCGGAATTTTTGGGATTTTTAGCTTTTTGCCGCCCGTTTTTAGGGTTTTCAAAGTAAAAGCTGTTGGTTTATCAGTATTTCCGCGATTTCCAGCGGCAGTTTTCTATAGAAGCGTTTTTTCCCCGAAAAGTGACTTACACCTCTATGTACTTTTGGTCCGCAACATTACACCATCGATTTCGGGAAGTCACGATTTTCGGGACATGAAATAGCTTTAGAAACGCTTGAAAAGACTTGTAAAGGATGTAATTAGCGAAATTTATGCCATAAAATTCGATCAAACAGAATTATAGGACCCCGGATTTCTAGTCGCTCGATTTGGTAATTCTGGCGGTTTTAGGCTGCACCTTCCGATTACCTTCATCACGTAGCGTAAGGCTAATGAAAAATCAGCTCAAAAAATTAGGACGCGGTTTCTCGTCACGTTCAGCTTGATTTCGTGATTCCATATGACTCCCGACTACGCAAAAATCATGATATCACCGTATCACCCAGTCCCAAAAATGAGAGACCAACCACAGAACGAGCCCCGAGCGCCGCGGCGATTTGTCCCCCGTTTCGTCTCCTCCTCCCTTCGACCGATCCGCTGACAAA